AATTCTCCCCACCCTCTCCAGCATTTATTATTTCCAGATTATGGAGGTTCCTTAAAAAACTACAAATAGAACTACCATATGACCCAGCAATCCCACTACTGGGCATATACCCTGAGAAAACCGTAATTCAAAAAGAGTCATGTACCAAATGTTCATTGCAGCTCTATTTACAATAGCCAGGAGATGGAAGCAACCGAAGTGTCCATCATCGGATGAATGGATAAAGAAGATGTGCCACATATATACAATGGAATATTACTCAGCCATAAAAAGAAATGAAATTGATCTATTTGTAATGAGGTGGATGGACCTAGAGTCTGTCATACAGAGTGAAGTAAGTCAGAAAGAGAAAGACAAATACTGTATGCTAACACGTATATATGGAATTTAAGGGAAAAAATGTCATGAAGAACCTAGGTGTAAGATGGGGATAAAGACACAGACCTACTAGAGAATGGACTTGAGGATATGGGGAGGGGGAAGGGTAAGCTGTGACAAAGTGAGAGAGTAACATGGACATATATACACTACCAAACGTAAAATAGATAGCTAGTGGGAAGCAGCCACATAGCACAGGGAGATCAGCTTGGGTGCTTTGTGACCACCTAGAGAGGTGGGATAGGGAAGGTGGGAGGGAGGGAGACGCAAGAGGGAAGAGATATGGGAACATATGTATATGTGTTATTGATTCACTTTGTTATAAAGCAGAAACTAACACACCATTGTAAAGCAATTATACTCCAATAAAGATGTAAAAGAAAAAAAAGATGTAAAAAGAGAAAAGAAAATTCTCCCTACCAGTGAGAAAAGGCTGAAGTGTGAGTGATTCTCAAGGGGATTTGCATTTTGAGAAATGACCCCAGTGAGAAGCAGTACTTAACCTTGTAGGCTGCAAGCTCCACAGGCACAGGGGCTGTGAATTCATCTCAGGGTCCCCAGTGCCTGGCACAGTGCTTGTTATCTAAAAGGTGTACAGCAAACAGGTAGACTAACTTTTTTAAAATAATAAAAGTAAAACAGTAAAAGTAACGTGTGCTCATCATTAACAGTCAGAACATAATTGTCTGAGGTTAGAAAATCAGAAGCCCTCACGGCCACTCACTCTGATTTCTCCAAGTTCCTTTTATTTTCTGTTTGTTTGATCTATCTTTCACGTAGGGACTCTTTCCTCAAATGTCTGGTGATCCTGCATTTCTTCCATATGCAATAGTGAGTCATCATTACTGGAAGCTCCGGGGGCTTGGTGGCTTTTTATCTAAGGGCCCCCACTTTGGGGTGATGGGATAGGGGCATGGCTATTCTATTCAAGATGTCATTTGCGTTTTGGTAGTCTGAGTTTTGGTAACTTTTCTCTTAGGCTGGTTTGTTTTCCTGAGAGGAGTTAATGCTCTGCTTGGGGCTCTAGTGGAGGGAAGGGCTGGTTGGTCTGAGCATCCCAGAGACTTTCAGAGACCTTCATTTAATTCCCCTGTCATCAGTCTCAGTCTTCAGTCTGGTATCCCCCTTACCCCATTCCCCTCCACTCTCTGCTGGGCAACGTGTTCCCAAATGTACAGTCACTCTGGTTCATCTTGTATTTTATGGGGATGGAGAAGAAGATCTGGGGGTCTAAACAGTTCACTCATACCTACTGTTATCAGCTTCACTCCACTTCACAATTTTCTGCTAACTCCTGTGCCTTTCCAGGGTACCTTGGCATGAATCCCCTGCTTCCTGTGCATTCCCCACCTGTTGGCTGAGGTTTCAGCTTTTTCAGGTCTGCTGAGTGAGTTCCACTTGTTCATTCTGTTTCATCTTCCAAACAGCTGTTGATATCTCCCATCAGTTTTGGTCCCCTCTTCCATTTACTTCATCCTAGTTGATTTATACCATTTTAATCCTTTAACTGCTATTTTGAGGGGGTTTCAGAAGAGAGTGGAGATAAACACCTGTGTTCAATCTGCCATGTGCAATGGGTACACTGTGCTTTTTCCTTTTAACAATATATTGAGAAAGTGTTTATTTCTTTGTAATTGGGTATAGAATTCCAGGCTCCAATAGGCAACACATAAATCTATTTTAAGTTTATGTTGCTTAATGCTGCAAAGTATACAATGAACATTATTTTACACTAATAATTATGTGTAGAAATAAAGGAGAGAAGAATAGAAGGAGAGAGAGAAAGAGAGTGAGAAAGAGAGAAGGAAGGAGGAAGAGGAAAGGGGTCTACATGGAATGTCAGGCTCTGAAGGAGGGAGTGGGGGAGAAGCTCAGGGAAATGAATGGGCTGTAGTTCTAGCCTTGGCCCATATACTACCTAGATCCAATCCTCGCCTCTCATTTCTGGTACCCACTGAATGCTAACTGCCTCGTACTCAAACGTGTTGTTATTTGTGAGAAAAGCAGCTTCCACTGGGATGTGGTCTACCAGGATCAGGAAACAAGCTGACGTTTGGACAGGCAAGGCCACAACCTGCATGGCCAGAGAGGGCTCAGTGTGCCCTTTCTTGCCAGAGGGTGGGTGGGTGGGCTCCCAGATGTGCGTTTCCGCATGACTGAAGGGCACAGTGGCCAGCATCCACGAGGTCCACCCCTGCCTGGGGCTCAGGCCCATCAGAAGATGCCCAGATAGAAAAGGGAAGAGCCTGGGAACCTTCACTCCGGCTCTGGCTCCTCTTTTATCCAGCTTTGGGCAAGTCTGCAAGAAACAGAAGCTTTGGCTTCTGTTTCTTCAACTGCAATATGGGAGAATAGCTTCTGCTAATAGCTAAGAGGTTTTATGGGGAGGTTGGCACTTCTCACATCAACCAGATACTTTCTGAGCACTTGACATTGAATGGTGAGAGGACTGAGGAAACAGCATTCAATAATAAACTCAATATTTTCAGATATTTGTTGAGGACTATTCTTTGTGCTGGCCACTGGGGTTGTCAGTGCACAGTAGTGGACAAACAGACATGGTTCCCACCCTTGGGGCTTCCAGTCTAGTGAGAAAGACACACATTCAATTCATAAACTCACAAAATAAGTACATAATTTCAAATTAGGATAAGGGCTAGGAAGGAAAAGAGCATTCTGCTTCAGGAGAGAGTAGCAGGAATGAGGTAGTCAGGGGGAAAGAAAAGAAACAGCTACATAAACCAAGGTAGTGATGCTAATGGCGGGGCTACTGGGCACAGTGGAGACCCCAGATGATTGGGGGCAGGTCAGCACTTAGAGTGACTCAGAATCCTGGGCACCACAATGCAGGGTCCTTTTGGTGACATGAAGCCGAGTCAGGAAAGCTCAAAGCTGACAGGTCAGCTATATGTACAGGAGAATGGGGCAAGATAAGGAGGCCACCTGTCTCTCTGGAGAAGCCTCTCAAAGTCTCCTGGTTTTCACTTTCCACCTTCTCCCTTCCCCTTCTGCCCACGTTCCAAGACCTGAGGCAGCTCTATAGACCTCAGGTGATTCTGAACAGGCTCCTTGGCAGGATCCCTAAGTGAAAGAGAAGGCAAGGACACAGGGACCGTCCATCTGGGCACAGAGCTCTGACCGCCTCAGAGACCTCACAGAGGTTACCAGGGCCCTGATCTCTGACACCAACAGAGACTGGGCAGGAGTGTCAGGGCTGGGCAGCCCCAGGAATAAGAGCAGGCAGTGCATTAATAACCATCCTCTGAGGACTTCTCCTTACAGATGAAGAAACTGGAGTTCAAAGAAATCACGGAATGTGCTCGAGGTTACACAGATAGTAAATGACAGAGCTGAGATTCAAACCCAGGCAACTTGACTCCAGAGTCTGCTGTCACTGGACGTTCCCACTCAGCCATTCAGGCCACTCACATTAAGGCCTAGGACCAAAGAGCAGATCCCCTAGAAGCTCAGAGTTTTGCCAGGACCTTGGAGTTCATGTATGCACTGGCCATTGTCTGCAGACAGAATAAGTAACATGTCCCAGTAGGTCCTGCCGTGGCTGAATGCTGCCCCCTCCCCCAATATATCCACCCAGCACCTCAGAATGTGACCCTACTTGAATAAGGGTCTATGCAGATGTAATTAAGGTGGGAATCTCAAGATGAGATCACCCTGGGTGGTCCCTAAATACAATGACAAGGGTCTTTATATGAGGCAGAAAAGAGGACATGCAAAGACACAGAGGAAAAAGCCTTGTGAGAATGGAGACAGACATCGGAGTGATGCTGCCACAAACCAAGGAACACCAGAAGCCATCAGAATATGGAAGAGACAAGGAAACATTCTTCCCTAGAAATTCTGGAGGAAGCATGGCCCTGCCAATACCTCGATTTCAGACTTCCGGCCTCCTGAACTGTGAGGTAATAAATCCTGTTGCTTTAAGCCGCCTAGTTTGAGGTTATTTGTTACAGCAGCCACAGGGCACTGATAGATGTCCCTCTGATTCTTCGTAAGAAACACAGGCATTTAAAAATATTACTAAGCTCATAGTTGCTATTTATCATTATGTATTTTTCTCAATGGATATAAAATATTACTATCACATGAATAGTAATAAAAATATTACTATTGTAAAATATAGATTATATGTGCAACACTATCATCTCACAGAGAGATTACCTAAATTCCAGAGAGGGCCCTGGTAAAGCAAGCAGGCAGGCTGGTCTGGAAGCCTGCTCCCCTCATTCATGAGGTGTTTCTCTTCCTCCAAAGCCTGGGGCTACTGGTGGTCCTCACCAGCCCACACAGAGAAAATCAGAATCAAACTTGCCCAGCAGAAGGTTTAGAAACACTTCCCTCTTCCCTCCCTTTGCCTCCTGGCTTGGCAATAAGAGCCCAGGTTACACCCTGTGATTGTTCCAGAAAACCAAGCATTGCTAAAGGGCATTATGTCAGGTGTCCCCAGTCCGTGCTACTTGGCACCCTAGACCTCCATACCACATCCCCTGCCCCTGTCTGACTTCAACACCCCTGGCTGTGGTGGGACAGGGAGGCCTGATAAAAGGAGGGCAGGACCTGGTTAGCTGGTCGCGTGGGCTGGAGTCTGTCACTGAGCCAGCACCATGGTGTGGTCTGTAGCCTGGGCAGGTGAGTGGGTGCTGTCGGGGAGCATGGGCTGCGCCCCGGGAGCTGTGGGGAAGTGGGGATGTGTATGTGAAATGGCTCCTTGGTGCTGTGTGTAAGGAAGCAGAAGCTTTCAGGAGAACTTTGAAGGGTCATTCCATTTCTCTCTCTGCTGCCAGGCTTGCAGTCCCTGTGGGCTCCCCCCTGAGGTCTTTCAGCCCAAGAGGCTTTGTGTTGCAAGGAAAAGCTTTTCTCAACAGGCTGAAAATGACTTTTCCTCCTGTTTTGGAAGCCCAGAGTCAGTGAACCCCTCGGCATTGGGTGGTTTTGTCTTTCCTGTGTTCTGAGGCCCCCTACTCTCCAGGGGTGCCCACTGCCAAGGAATTCTTCCCCACCCTGATGCTGGTTGCCCTGCAAAAGGCAGCCTGGGAGCCATGACCCTGGGTGCCCTTACAAATTTTCATGCAGGTTTTATTAGGTTAATGGGAAGATCTAAGGTCTCCAGAGAGGTGAAATAAATACTTTTAAAGGAGTCCCACTGAGGCCTACGTCTCCAAGGATATTGGTAACTCAGCCAACCTCTTGTTCAGTGTGGCAGGAAAGCAGCAAAAAGTAGTCAGTTGTGGCTGTGAGCAGCGGTACAGAGACCTCACCTAGAGATGAGCTCTCTGGCCTAGCCCTTCCAAACTGGCTCTTTTCATCCTGAGGACAGGTTTTCTACTTATTTCAAAAGAGAAACTTTCTCTCTAAAAAGCTTAAAAGTCGGGCTTCCCTGGTGGCGCAGTGGTTGAGAGTCCGCCTGCCGATGCAGGGGACACGGGTTCGTGCCCTGGTCTGCGAAGATCCCACATGACACGGAGCGGCTGCGCCCGTGAGCCATGGCCGCTGAGCCTGCACGTCCGGAGCCTGTGTTTAGCAACTTGGACTCCTGGGTTCCCTTCCTATCCCACACCACTCCCTGTACTCAGACCCTCATCCTGAGCCTGGGCTGTGGCACTGGACACACATTTCCCCTCTTCATCTCACAGGAGGGGACAGCCAGGTCCAGAGAAATAGCAAACATGGGGAAGAGAGAAAAGTTGAAGATTTCCTCAAAAGCTTTAATCCAAGCTACTTCTGGGCATATGGTGTGCTATGGTATGGGATGGTATATATTTATAATAATAGAATTTTGTGTGGGCTAAGGGTTAATGTATGCAAAGCACTTAGAACAGAGCTTACTTTCTGCCAGCACTGTTCTGAGTGTTTCACATACATTAACTCTTCATTCACACAGTAGTCCTTAAGATAGGAGCAATCATCATTCCCATTTTATGAAGGAGAAAGCTGAATTATCTGGCTAAAAAGTTGCAGAGTTGGGATTTCAACCCAGGCATGAAATTCCAAAGTCCCTGCTGTTAACCACCAGACTTTGTTGCCTCTATAGTACAAATATTCATGCACAATATTCAATATGCTATGGCAGGATATGATACAAAATAAAAAGACTCTCCTGGCTCCTTTCTAGATGGTCCCAGGGATGTGTTCGCTGGGTTAATCCCCTGCTTCCTTCTTTTGCTTTGGGGAGTTCACCAATCCTCCTTCTATGTCACTCAGGCAACGCCCCAGTCCCATCGGCAAACTTCACTCCCGGGTGACCTCTAATTAGGGCCAGTGACTACCCAGGAGCTTTGACTCCTCCTTCTGAGAGCCATCCATGGGTGCAGGGGTGTCTCAGCCAGCCCTTCATGCTCTGGGTTCCTACACACCCTCCTATAGCCACTTTGCACTGCTCTCCCTCCTCGTCCTCTCACTGGCCACATGGGGGCTGCAGGAGGGTGCAGAGAGATCCTGTCTGTGCAAAAGGAAATCCTAGGGTCTAGACCGTGACCACAGACATATTCCAGTCCAAACTCATCATTCTGCCAAGTCCCTGGCATAAAATGCTGGCGTGTACAAACCACACGATCATAGTCTGCAAGGCTGGAAGAGCCCTCAGAGACCACACTGTTATTTTCAGATGGGGACCCCTAAGCCAAGGCTAAAGAGATCGGCCCAAAGTACACTTCTGGCAGCTGCAGGGATGAAGACGAGCATCTTTGCGTTCTGGTGTTCTGGTCAACTTTGCACAATGCTGCCCTTGGTGGGAGCCATCACTGCTAGACAAGCCCCCATCTGGGAGGAGAGGCCCTACACACAAAGCCATTCTACAGGGTATGGGGATGACAGAAACAAGCTGCCTTTGCCTAGAGAAAATATTCTCTTTGTTAGAACCTTGTCAGTGATATTAAACCAGTTCTCTACAAGGGATAATAGTGTTTAAATGCAAACCTCTTTAAAGCAAAACTAAAGAAACATAAACCCAGGCCTGTAACTGGGGCCTCCTCTCTGTCACTTTATATATTTGTATTTTAATTAACATTCTGAAGTATTCCAAGCCGTGATTTGAAAGTTCTGCCTCCCTGCCTCCAGCAGATGAAGGGCCATGTTTAACGTCTTCTGGCATGACATAAGTTCTGCCTCTGGGCAGAGGGTGCCAGTCCATAGCAGGCCCTTCTGATTGCCATTTCTTTGCTTTGCCCCAACTGGCCAGGCTCTGCGGCAAAACTGGTCTGCTACTTCACTAACTGGGCCCAGTACAGACAGGGGGCTGCTCGCTTCTTGCCCAAGGATGTGGACCCCAAGCTGTGCACCCACCTCATATATGCCTTTGCTGGCATGAACAATCACCAGCTCAGCTCCATAGCGTGGAATGCTGAGACACTCTACAAGGAATTTAACAGCTTGAAGAAGATGTGAGCTGCAGTGGAGGAGGTGGGGATGGGAGGTGGAGAAGACGGGCACCTCCTCTCAAAGCCAGAAACCTTCTCCATTACTGCAGTCTGGCTGCAGACCCGCTGTGTGGCTTTGGGCAAGTCTCATCACTTCTCTGGGCTTTCCCGTGCTTATGTGGAAGAGGTGGGGGTAGATAGTGACTCCTTAAGTGCCCTTCCAGTTTAGGTCTAAGTGGAATCTGGACTGTGAAACTGTTTCCCTCCACTGGGAATGAGTGCCCCTCTATCTCCTAAAATCTATCTATCCTTCAGCTCAAGTGTTATCACTACCTTAATACAGCCTCTCTGAAGATCTGTCCTGATCTCTTGCTTTCTAAATTCCTTGAGTGTACGGCTCCCCAGCCAGATAAGAGGTCCTCAAAGGCAGGAATGTGTCTTTTCTTTCCCAATCTAGAGCTTCCCTGGTACAGAATATGACCATAGGGATTTATATATCCCCTACCTCACCCCACCAGCCCTGCCAGGCTCCTTGCTTCCTTGTTAGTGAGGTGAGCCCCAGGACCTGGCTGGATAAATTCTGGTGTTTCTCTTGTCTTTTCCAGGAATCCCAAGCTGAAGACGCTGCTGGCCACTGGGGGCTGGAACTTCGGCACTCAGAAGTGAGTTGTCTGTGGGCACCAATGTGGCAGGGCCCCTAGTGTGGAACTGGCTCACTGGCCAGAGAGATCCCCAGTCGGGGAATCAGCCAGGTAGAGGTGTAGCCAGGGTGAGGGAGAGTGGGAGAAAAGAGTGGACTCTGGGGGCTGACCTTCCTTCTGACTTCTTGGTACCTCCTCAGGAGGCAGTGGAGTGGGCTTAGCTCCAGGCCGTTATACATCCAGTCTTTTTTTTTTGTTTTGCTGTACGCGGGTCTCTCACTGTTGTGGCCTCTCCCGTTGCGGAGCACAGGCTCTGGACGCGCAGGCTCAGCGGCCATGGCCCACGGGCCCAGCCGCTCCGCGGCATGTGGGATCCTCCCGGACCGGGGCACGAACCCGTGTCCCCTGCATCGGCAGGCGGACTCTCAACCACTGTGGCACCAGGGAAGCCCATCCAGTCTTGCTTTATATGCAGCACAGAGCCTGACCTCTTTCCAGGCCTCAGTCTCTTCCTCCATGAAATGTGTAAAGGGAGGGTCTCAACTAATCCCAGACAACATATAATGTCTATATTTTCTGAGCTCTGGAACAGTATGTCTGAGAATTTTTGTTCCCTTTCTGGGTGTCAAAAGCAGTCTGTGAGATTGAGCTTGGATGCCAGAATATTGACATTTCCAGGACATTTTTGATGATTTATGGAGGTAATGGAATGGTATATTTGGAACCATACTTTTCCTAGAAAGTGCTAACTGTAAGGTCCCCAAAATTCTAAACCAGTCTTTCTAATACTTTTTTGGATCATGAGCCCTGTTGAGAACCTGATGAAATTTATGACTCCCCTTCCCCAAACACTGCTTATACACAGATTTTTCACTGAAATTCAGGATTCTCAGCCTGGGGTTCCCAGGCACACAAACCCCACTTAAGAAATGGTGCTAGTAGCTAATTTAAAAAAATAAATTAAAATAGAAACGGTCTATAAAACTCAAGACCCCCAAGAAGTCCAGGGACTTCTTGAGAAAGTAAGATGTGGGGAGGTTGTTCTTGGGGCACCTCAGGAATTGTAAAGAACTCTGGACTAGTAATAGTAATAACAATAGCACGAAGCGCTCTACAAACGTGAGTTAGAAGAATAGTAACCATGTTAACCTGCCAGGGAAGTAGAAGAGCAGGGCCCCAAGGTTACCCAGATCCTCACTGGCCTGCTGGGCTTCTCTTCCTCCTCATCTTAGAAACTGATTCCTCTTCTTTTTTCAATCTCCATGCTGGGTTGACAGCCAGCTCTGATTCAGGTTAGAGCAAATCCCTGGGCAGGGATGTGGCAGTAAGCTTCTGGAGGGAATTTTGGGAAGCAGAGCTCCTAGTGAGTCAGTGTGCCCCTGGTGATGTCAATGTTTGGGGGCACTTCTACATTGTCCCTTTCCCTTAGCCAGGCCCATAACCCACCTGCAAATATCCCGGCAGCCTCTGAAGCAGCCCTTCCGGTGCCCTTCTGGCCTAGACAGCCGAGCACCGATATCTTGAGTAGTTTCTCACTTGCCTCTGAGAGAGCATGACCCACTGTCCTGTGTAAGACAGGCCCACACTGCCCTTTATCAACCCACAGGTTCGTGGATATGGTGGCTATAGCCAATAACCGACAGACCTTTGTCAACTCAGCCATCAGGTTTCTGTGCAAATATGGCGTTGATGGTCTCGACCTTGACTGGGAGTACACAGGCAGCCGGGGGAGCCCTCCATCAGATAAGCAGTGCTTCATAGCTCTGGGGCAGGTACAGCTGGGTGAGATAGGGAAGACCTAGTTGGCCAGGGGGCCACATAGGTGCTGCTCTGCCCCCAGGCTCAGCTGCTTCATGTGTCTGCATAGCACAGACCAGGCCTGTGGTCAGTTTTCAGGCTCCTGTGTGGGAACACCTGCTTGGGGCTCACAGGGCTGCCTGTTCCCTGCCTGTGTGTTCACTCTGAGATGCCCCTGCAGGACCTGGCCAACGCCTTTCAGCAGGAAGCCCAGGCCTCAGGGAAGGCACACCTCCTGCCGAGCACAGCTGTCCCAGCAGGGCCACACTGCACAAAAGTTGGATACGAGGGGGACAACATTGCTCTGTGAGTCTCAGGCAGATGGCATGGACCCTGTGTTCTCTGCAGGGGAAAGAGACCAAGGGTAGGCTGAGCTTCCCCCAGAATGGAGCAGGGCTCGCCTGCACCACCAGCAGACCCAGGGAGGGTTTCCTTACCACATCTGCTACTCCATCACTCCGGAGTCCCTCTCTTTGGAGCCTGGCCCTCAGTCTTGAAGTGAAATATCCCTGGGGGAGGAAAGAGGGAAGCACTTAGCATCTCCAAGAGAATGAGTTCCCACGCCAGGCCTACTGAATAAGAGCCTGCACCTGAATGAGATTCCCAGGTGATTTATGTGCACAACTAAAGTTTGAGAAATGCTAAGCTAAATTTCCCTTCAAAATAGCAAAATAGCAAGAAGTGTCCTTGAGTGGACTCTGTCCTGAGGGTGCTGAGGGGACAGCTGGGAGGAGGATGCTGAAGACGTGAGCTGCCAAGAATGAGAATGGCCTGGATGATCGTGTGCGGGGGGGCGACCGGAGGTGCTGCCTATGCTGCTGCGTCTCCCAGAGCCAGAAGGGAGCCCGCCCCCACGATGCAGGTCTCTCCCCAGGCCACACACTGCGTGAGAGGGGAGGGAGGAGCAAGGAAGGGGTAGGGCTCCACCCTGCGCTCTAGCCCCTCACTCTTTCTTCCCATGCCTCATGCAGGAACCTGGAGTTCCTCAGCTTCATGGCCTATGACTTCCATGGCTCTTGGGAGAAGAACACAGGGCATAACCGCCTCCGCCCCCCGACAAGAGACAGGGAGAGAGCGGGGCCGTGGCCGAATTCAATGTGGTAAGTGGGAGGACGCCCCTGGCACAGGCCCTTGCCGGTGGCCCCTTTTGAGCCTCGAAGAACCAAATGGAAGGGAAAAGCAGGATACCAAGCAGGGCATGGAGAAGCCAGGATATTTTTGTTTCTTTTGTGTTTGTTTGTTTGTTTTATTTTCCTGTTCCATGCCACTGCTGAGGAGAAACCTCACTTCTGTGTAGCATGTCGGCTGATATCAGACACAGCAAACCAATCTAGTTTGGGGACACATCAAACAAACCAGTGACTAACTGGGAGGCTGTCTTTGAGCTCAAGTTTCCAGCCAAAATGGCTTCTGCTCCCTTCATACACCCTCAGCCCCATTTCCTTCAAGATAACGGGTAGCTTTTGCTCCTTGGCACTGAATGTCCTTCTGGAAGGTGTTTTCTGGAAAGAGGTGAGAGCTTTCCATAACATCTCAGGACAGAACCACCCCTACGCCACCCCAGTCCCGGGAAAGGGAAGGCTTGGTTGTAGACTGGAGTGGGTGGAGGTTTCCTGCCCAGCTCTTCCTCATTCAGTAGGCTAGACATTGTTTTACAAGCCCATTCTAATTTTAAAAGTCAAGATTGACTGTATCATTTCTCCTTCTTAACAAACAACAATAACAAAAAGCCCTAAATTAAAATGTTTGTTAATTTTGCGGAGCCCACATCTTTGTGTGTCAGCTGGGTGGAACATCTAGGACTTCCATGGCTCTTTCACAAATAAAGTGCACTTCTTCAGGCACTTGAGCTGAGCATGTAGACCTCACATTGCACCTGGCTCCTCCACCCTCATCTAGGAAACTGTGTGGGTCCCAGGAGAAGCCAGCCCAGTCAAGTGGGGAGACATACAAAGACATTCAGCTGAGAGGTGAGGGAGTTGAACTCCCACTGGCACAGTGCTCTCCAAGCTGTGTGCCCTGGATCCATGTGGGGGAAGGGAGGCCTTTAATCTCCTACAAAGAGGCCTTCTACTCTCCATACTATGTGCCCTGCATGTTGCTTCTGGGCAGAGGGGTGACTTTTCCAAATTTGCACAAAAATGTCACAGAACTTAGCAGGGTGCTCTGACCTCTGCCCTCAGAAAGCTCCAGTCTGATCAAAGATAAATCATATGGACCAGCAAAACCAAATACACGTAAATCAATACGGTGAAAATACCTAAGTGCTAAGAGGTTGCAGGGTAACTAGAAAACCTGGACTCAAACAGGGTGCCTTCTTGGGGAAAGTGAGCCTACCATCCTGGTTTGAGGGAAGAGTCTTCATTATTTGTTTATTCCACAGAGTTATATCGGGTACCTCCTCATGTCACAGGCCTGGGGGTGTCATGTCAAGTAATACATGATGGGGGAAGGTCTTGTGCAGAGGCGGTGAAGAAGCCCTGTGCTCATTTGTTCTTTCTATTTGCGCATCTTAGTGCCAAGCATTGTTCTAGGCACTGAGGATACAGAGATAAATAAAATTCCCTGCTCTTGTACTGAGGGTGAAACAACAGTGATGGTAATGATCACAATCATAGCTCCCCTTTATTGCACTATGTTAGACTTATATATGCATTATATCTTTTAATTCTCACAATGCCCTTAGTGACAAATATTTTTATCATTTCCATTTAATAGACAGGAAGCTCGAGGCTCAGCAAGATCAAATAAGCTGCTGAGTAAGGCAGAGATCGTTGTTTACTGAGGTATCCCAAGCACCTAGGACAGTGCCTGGCACACAGCTGGCCTTCAGTAAATATTTACTGAGTCAATGACTGTTTGACTCCAGAGCCCATGCTCTTGGCTATAGGGCCATGCAACTTCAATCACTGTGGTTCAGGGTCTAAGACAGGATCTAAAGAAGATGGGGAAGGGTTGGAACACTAGTAAATGCTCATGAAACTCCTCTGGAGCCCCCAGGCTTGGATGATCTGAACCAGTCTAAAGGCAAAGAAAATTAGCCCTGACATTCCTCCTTCACCACCAGGACTCTGCCATGCAATGGTGGCTGCAGAAAGGGACCCCTGCCAGCAAACTGATCCTTGGCATGCCCACCTATGGATGATCCTTTACCCTGGCCTCTTTGTTGGACACCGGAGTGGGGGCCCAAGCCACGGGGCCTGGAACTCCTGGCCCCTTCACCAAAGACGGAGGACTCCTGGCTTACTATGAAGTAGGAAAACCCACAGCCACCCCGAGTATTGTGCAGAGCAGGGGCTTCTTCTCCCATAATTTCTGAATGAGGATGCTAGGCACAGTGAATTCTGGTTGGGTAAATTCCATCCCATGCCTGTCATCTTGGATTTATCCCTAACCCCAGGTGCCTCGTTGAATTGCCAGTTCTAGGTCACTCAGTCTAGAGCTTCCTAGATTCTCCAAGCTTCTCAGACGGGAATATTTCAGCCTCTAGTCTCCTCACGACAGGGAGAAGGTGCCTGCAGCGCCTCCCACCTGCTTCCCAGCTCTTTCCTCTGCTCCTACAGGTCTGCTCTTGGAAGGGGGCTGATGAGCACAGACTCAAGGACCAGAAGGTGCCCTATGCCTTTCAGAGCAACCAGTGGGTCTGTTTTGACGATGTGGAGAGCTTCAAAATCAAGGTGAGGCTTGGCCCTGCTGGGAAGGTGTGGTCCTGTGTGGGCCCAAGGCCTGTCAATAACATTCAATGACAGCATTCAGAACCTCTTCAAGGAGAAATATCCCAGCATTTCACAGATCTCCATGTGATACCATTTGGTGCCATTATCACCTATTGATTAAGAAAAGACACAATGGCAAAAAAAATTGCTCTGCATTGAGTATCTCTCTTGAAAGTATTTGTATTTTATTAAACACAAATTCTACAGATATGTAAGAGGAGAAATACATACAGTAAGGCATATCATTTTATTCAGTCCATTGACAATATTTGGTGCATGCTCAAATTATAGATCCTTTGATTTACTTTTATGACACCCCCTCCATTCCTGCCTCAAAACTTGAGTGCGATTACCTGTTTCCATGTCTCTCTCTCCAGTGAGGTCATTGGCACCTGCAGAGGGACCTGCATTTGCTCATCTGCTTATCTCTTGTCAGTTACGCAGTGGCAGGTCCTTCTGGTGGTGTAGACAAATTGCTCTGGAGAATTGAGGAGGCAGCATGATCCTGGCTGGGGGAGATGAGAGAAGGCATCATGGTGGAAGGGATTTTGAGAAAGCCTTAAAGCAGAGAAGGTGGGCCTTCTGGGGAGGAAAGCGCAGGAGAAGGACTTGATGGAGAGGAAAGGGGAAGCTGGCCTCTGAGAGCAAGTTGTACCGTAGCTGGAACCCTGAGTGGGGACTGGTGTAGAAAGGGAGGTAGCTGGGAGGGACATTGGGGCCATCAAGGGTTCCGACCACCCCTACCCTGTAACCCCAGCCTCACGCCAGAGGTGAGCCATGGCCCCCTGGCAGGGCTAGGGCCAGGGAAGCCCACTCGGAGGGGACACACAGCCATACCCTAAAGAAGCCTCAGGGAACTGGTGGAGGTGAGAAGGCCCTCAGCGTGGACAAAAAGACATGAAGACAGGGAATGGATTCAGATCTTTGGGGAAGTTTAGTCGTTCCCTATGTCAGCTGAACTCACCACAATCAGCAGACAGTACCCCAAACACAACAGCTCAGCCCAGAAAATGCTGGGAAGTTAAGGCTGCCAACCTAAGGAAGGTCACACATCCCTGTACTCCTCACACCTCCACCCCTGGCCAGGTTTATGTCAGGGCAGGGAGATTCCAGAATGAATCCTGCCCAGCAAGGATAAGGACTCATGGACCTGGGGGTGCTGGAGAAAGGAGGTCCCTGCCTGGATGAGGAAACCGGTTCTGGGGCTGCTGGCCGGGCTTCCCTGCTCTCCTCCACCCCCATCTCGCTCCTCACACAGGTCAGCTATCTGAAGCAGATGGGACTGGGTGGGGTCATGGTTTGGACACTGAACATGGACGACTTTGCTGGTTTCTTCTGCAACCAGGGCCGATACCCCCTCATCAAGATGCTGCTGCTGGAGCTGAGTGAGTATGGGGTCAGGGCACCTCAGGAACTGGCTTCTTCTGAGGAAATGACTTTGCCCCAGTACCGTGATTTCCCAAATTTCACCCCCAGGAGCTGAGGAAGCTGTAGAAATGATTCTCTTTTCACACTCTTCTTCCTCTTTCTGATTGTACCAATGCCTGCCCAGGGTGTCGGTAACCAGGGCTTCCCTCCAGAGGGCCCTCAGCCTCTCTTCTCAAGGCCTGCACTCAGCCTTCATTGTGAGACCCCGCTGGCCCTCACCGTTACTTGGTTGGGCTTTGCAGATGGTAGATAGCCACTGACTGCCTATGACACTTGTAGCTCCGGTGTTTTCTCTTGAGCTGTGCTCCAGCTGTAGGTGTGGTTGCTGTCTGGCTGCTCTCTGCCTTGGGTGTCTGCCTATGCCCTGCCTGTAAGGTATGGGGTGTTGAGCTGCTGCTGCCTATGGTTGCTGCCTGTGTGCTTGGCCTATGGGTTTGGGATCTTTTGGAGGAGCCTTGGTTGAATCGTCACTGTTTTCCCAGGTTGTCCATATATGTCTTCAGGCCCCCCAGAGCCTGAAGTTCCTGCACCAGGCCAGCTCTCTGAACCTGAGTATGGCTCCAGCCTCGGACAAGACACCTTCTGCCAGGGCAAAGCTGACGGGCTCTACCCCAACCCTCTGGACTGGTCCAGCTACTACAAGTTGTACAGGGGGGTGGTTGTTCCAGCAAAGCTGCCTGAGGAGCCTGGTGTTCAGCTCCTCTTGCAAATGCTGCACCTGGAGTTGAGTCTCCAAGGCCCCTTCGGCCCCAGCACCTGGGCAAGGGCCCAGGACCACTCCATAGCCCACCTCCCCAGCTCTCCCTGGCAGTTGCAGTCTAGCTTCTTGTGTCTTTCCATATCCAAGCTTTCTGTTCTCAGCCTTGGTTTCCTCTTGTTCTGCTCTTCCTGGGCTGCCTATTTTACTTGAAAAATAAATCTTTGGTTTGCACCCCACTGCCCCCAGACGTGGTGACTTACAGAGGCTCTCTAAGCACTCTGTTAGTTCAAACTGTACCCTGAGGAAGGTAGGGAGACAAGAGGGGAGGGTGACATAAGGCATGACTAAGTCAGAGCCAGGTGAGAAGGCGGTCCATTCAGGGTGTCATGCTCTGCACCAGGTCTCGCCTTGAAGACTCCACTTTCCAGTGGGCAGCTTCCAGGGCACAGATGATCACATCTGGGGCATGGCCCTGGATCTGACGCATTCTTCGTTGGCTCAGAACCCCTTGGGGAGAGAACTCTTCCTGGTGACCTCCATTCAGGTGTTATTCCCAAGATGCTCACTAGATGGCAGCAGAGAAGAGTTGTTCCCTGCCTTAAGGGCTCAGCACACGGCCGCTCTGCATTAAAACGAGAATCCAGACCCCCTGCTACTAAGCGCTCATTTGACAGATGAGGCAGGGATACTCATTACCCTCCTTTAACAGGTATTTAAACTGAAGACCTATTCTAACCCAGTTCTGAGACCAAAACCAAGGCCTAAATGGGCCAATATGGGCCAGAAGGGCATGCACATACAGTACCCTGGACAAATAGAGTAATCCAAATAGTCCTTAAAGCTTTGAGTTGAATCTTGGTCAATTTGAAGAAAATCTGCACATAATCTAATGGTCCAGCTTGCCATGCACTCACCCAAAGCTGGTGTTTTGGGTGGGACTCGGGCAGCTGGGGATTGGGACTAGTAGGGAGAGAGATGAGCTGGCCCTTCGCATGAGTACAAGCAGCACCAGATCCCTCTAGCAGTGACTTCCCCTCTACACCCTGCCTGTCCTCAAGCCTTTTGAAATCTGCTCTTCCTCAGTCCAGAGCACAGGTCTGCTTTTGCCCATGTTCCTTCCTCTGAGGTCTCAGCTGAGACCTGTCTCTGCTCAGAATGGAGTCTAGGATGGAAGTCTCCTTATGGCGGGGGCTGTGGGAGGCTTAGCACCAGACAGCTGCAGAACCGACTTCCGGCTCCACCACCTACCAGCTGTGTGACTTTAGGCAAAGAAATGGAGCCTCAGTGCCCTCATCCGGCAGCTGGGGACAGCTTCCTTCTGTCAGGGTGGGTGAGGATTAGGGGAAGTAAGTGCGTGTTAGCTGGGTCCAACGTGATCAGCACCACCTCTCACTAGCCTTCTCACTGGGCTCTCTGCTTCCTGTACCTCTCTCATCCAGTGCAACCTCCACACTGTGACCAGCTTGATCTCTCTAAATGAGGAATCTAACCCTGTCATTTCCCATGCCTAAGAACTACCAACAGCTTCCTCCCGCCTAAAGAATAAAGTCTCTGTCATCAGCACAGTGTCAAGACACTTCATCAAGGCCCAGTCTCTTCTGCTCTCATTCCTATCGTCCAACCCCAGTTCAGTTGCCAGGTACCCCAGCTGTTGTTACTAAACTCAGCCACGCCAGCTTCTCATGTGGGACCCCCAGATGTCCACCGTCACTCTTATGAGTTTTGAGCCCCTGTCCCAAAGCAAATACTATTGTGTACTTTATTTTTTTTAATTTTTTAATTTTTTGGCTGTACGCGGGCCTCTCACTGTTGTGGCGTCTCCTGTTGCGGAGCACAGGCTCCGGACGCGCAGGCTCAGCGGCCATGGCTCACGGGCCCAGCCGCTCCGTGGCATGTGGGATCCTCCCGGACCAGGGCACGAACCCGTGTCCCCTGCATCGGCAGGCGGACTCTCAACCACTGCGCCAGCAGGGAAGCCCCCTATTGTGTACTTTAAACAAGACTGTCTCCCTTTACCCACCTGTCTGCCCTACCCACCCACCCCAACTTTATAACCTAGGTGACGTACCCGTGTATGGAGTAGGCCTTTGAAGTCAAGTGCAAATATTGCCTGGATTGTTAGGTTTGCTTCGCGTTGAGCAATATAGTTTGTAAAGGAATTTTGGGTCACTTATGCTTTAGTGGCTTAGTCCATGAATGTCTGGCCACTCTCTCTAACAGCAATGACCACTTTCAGCCCCATAGAGGAGAAGTTCCTCTGGTCTTCTCTCTGAGCAGACTCAGAGCATTCACCACCATGTCAAATATACCTTCTGGAACACCAGGCAAATCCTCAACCCCCACCCCACCGCAGGACCCAGCTCTCCTGGTGGGCCCACAGTCCCCTGCTCTGACATCATCCACTTCTTAATGTACCACACCTTACCTGGAGCCATGGGAACTGAAGCACTATTGTCTTTATTTTGTTTCAATTATGAAATCTACCACATGCGCAAAAGCGTGTTTAAAAAAATACGTATGTTCAGTATCTCCCAGGAATCCATCACGGGAGTAAGGAAACAACACTACCAACAACTTTGAAGTTACTCATGTGCCCCTCCCTAGTCCCACACCCTTCTAGCTAGACTTTGGTTAGTCATTTCCTCTTTTTTCTTATAGTCTTACCAACCGTGCGCATGTTCCTACACAAGATATTATTTAGTCTAGTCTGTTTTGAAACTTAAATAAATAGAAACATACTGTGTGGTACCTTCTGTGGCCCACTTCTTATGCTCCACAGAGCTGTAACCTACTCACCTTCACTGCTGTGCAGTATTCCATCACATGACTATACCACAATTTATACATTCTGCTATTAGTAGGCATTTGGGTTGCTTCCAGCTTTTGGCTAATGTGGACAGTATTGCTATGAACACTCTTGAGCATGACTGTTGGTAAGTATGTGTAGAATTTGTCCAAGAGTGGACTTGATAGGATGTGGGGCATATGCAAATTCAGTTTTCCTAGGCGCAGGCAAATATTTTTCCAAAGTGGTCGTACAGGTTTTCCCTCCCATTGCAATGTTCACACTGCATTCCATCCCCACCTTTACTACACTATATACCAATCCAAGAGGTGCAAAATGGTATCTCATTATGGTTTAAACTTGCATTTCCATAATTACTCATTATTTTAGCATCTTTTCCTGTGTCATAAGCTATTTGTGTTCTTTTGTGAATACAATGAGTGTGCCTTGCCCATTTTTCTGTTGGGTTGTTTGTCTCTTTCTTATTGAAATGTAGGAGTTCTTTACATATTCTGAACACAAATCCTTTGAGAGTTACAAGTCTGGCTATATTTTCTCCTAGTTTGAGGTTTGGCTTTTCATTCTTTTTAGGTGTTGTTTAATGTAATCTTATACCCTTTATTGTTTGTGCTTCCTGTGTCTTGTTTAAGAAATCTTTCTTTAGTCTGAGGTCAGAAAGATATTTTCCTAGATTGTCATTTAAAATTTTTATAGTTTTTTTTCTTTACGTCTTTAATCCTTCTGAAACTGACATTTGAGTATGCTGTGAGGTAGGATCCAAAATAATTTTTTTTTCCATTTGGATAACCAGTTGTCCCAGAACCATTTATTGCATAATCTACCATTTTCATTTTGATACTAATAAATCAGGTTTCTATCTATGCGTGGGTATCTTTCTCTGCCTTGATCTATTTTTTTACCCCTGCCACAGTAACTCACAGACTTAATTACTAAAGCTTTACAACACGTCTTGGTATATGGGAGGGTAAATCCTTCCATTATGCTTTCTGTTTCAGGAATGTCTTGGCTATTCTTAGCTCTTACTTTTCCATGTACATGTTAGAATCGTTTCGCCAAGTTCCATTAAAAATCCTGTTTAGGTTTTGACAAGAACTGTATTGAATACATAGGTCAATTTGGGGAGAACTGACATTTTTATGATATTGAGTCTCCCATTCTAAAAACATGGTATATCTCTTTATGCAGTTATTTCTTCCAAAACATATCTTAATAAAATTTTGTCATTTTCTTCTTAAAGATGTTATACATCTCTTATGATACTTATTCCTAGATTTTAAATTTTTGATAAATTTTATCCTTTCTAAAAATTAAATTTTTTCACTAATTATTGCTAGTGTATAATAATGTCATTGATGTTTGGATGTCAGTGTTGTACCCAGAAACTTTCCCAACCCTTTTATTAATTTCAGTGATTATTCTGCAGAAAGTTCTATGTAGACAATCGTATCATCTCCCTTGATGTTTTGTTTCTTACATTCCAAACCTTATGACTTTTTTTTCTTGTCGACTGTCCGGTACAGTGGTGAATAAAAACAGTGGCAGTGGGCATCTTTATCTTGTTTCTGGCCAGAAAGGTGATGTTTGCAACATTCATCCTTAAGTATGCTATTTATTGTAGGGTTCTCTTAGATGCCTTTTATAAGACAAAGGGAGTTTCCTTCTATTCCTAGTTTGCTGAGAGTTTTCAAGAGAAGGTCTGTGATGCAAAATAAATGAGTCACCAGCATGAAATGTACAGCGTCAATAACTATGTAGTATCTTTGTATGGTGAAATATCATAACTAGACTTACCATGGTGATCATTTTGAAATGTATGGAAATATCGAATCACTATGTCATATAACAGGAACTAACTTAGTGTTGTAAGTCAATTACACTTCAAAAACACACAAACAAACTCATAGAAAAAGGGATCTGATTTGTGGTTATCAGAGGCAGGGATGGGGGAAGAGGGAATTGGATGAAGACAGTCAAAATGTATAATCTTCCACTTATAAGATAAATAAGTACTGGGGATGTAATGAACAACATAACACATATAATTAACACTGCTGAATGTTATATATGAAAGTTAAGAGACTAAATCCTGAGTTCTTATCACAAGGAAAATTTTTTTTTCTATTTCTTTAATTTTATATCTATATGAGATGATGGATATTCACTAAACTTATTATGACAGTCATTTCATGATGTAAGTCAAATCATTATGCTGTACACCTTAA